AGGCAGGACCACCCTGGGATTTAGTGAGCACACCTGGCTGCACACCCTGCTCACCGCACCCTCACAGAGCACTCCCAGAGGGACACATCAGGTGCCATGTATCCACCCATCCCAGGCCAAGGGCTGACTTATCTTCCTGAGGTCCTGGTTCTCTTAATTAACAACAGAAGAAGCCTGATTTATACCAAACATCAAACCTTCACACAGCTACATTTAGCTGAGGTGAACCTTGCTGCTAGCTGGGACCTAAAAACTATGGGTATCAGCACAGAGCTCATGGCCTCCAGAATGTGATCTGAAGTCTGTTTCATCCTTGTTGTCCGTGCCTTGCTCCTGTGCCTGGCACTCTCAGGTCTGCCTGCCCTGGTGTTCAACCAAACAGCTTCATTTCACTGAGTAAATCTGGTTGGAAATGGTGCCTCAACGCCAGTTTGTGACAAACAGATCAGCTTCACATTATTCGCGTGTCAAATCAGAGACAACTTGAGTATCATGACATATCTGGACTGATGGGTCTATAGATGAAGTGAAAGTGTCAGCAAAATACACACAGCAAAACAATCCCCCAAACTCCAAACCAAAACAAAAGAAGCCCCAAGGTAAAAATAGGCCTTAGCCTATTAGCTTTCAGCATCAGTGGTTTGTGTTCCTGAGAGTTTCTCATAGATGGATGAAACACGTGACAAGAGACTGACGTGTCAATTTGAAGGACTGCCATACAAAGTCCTAAGTGAGAAATTCCTTAAAGCCAGAAACATGAGACATGAAAGCAACTTCTCACCCCAATAAAACATTCAACTATTCATTTGATAATTTAAGTGATCCTTTCTGGCTGAGAACACACATGGATTACAGCATTCTTGATATTTTACCTCTAAGAGGCATACGACTTCATATATATATATATATATATATGGACACACACCTACATATATGTGTATATGTATATGTATATGTATATGTATATGTATATGCTGCCTTACCTTCTATTAACTGATGTATTTTCTACTTTAGAACCTCACAACTTTTACTGAACTGCAACAATTAAAGAAAGGCTTTTTTGATCAGCTTAAGAGATAAGTTAACAGAGGTTCAAATAATTTGTGGTTTGGCCAGGATCGCACATGCAGCTAGGGAGTGCCATAAGGAAAACCAACAAACAAGTATAGAACACTCCAAAAATGAACATGAACTCTGCAAAATTAATTTGAGGAATGAGAGACAGGAGAAAATGTAAGGGAGGCAACAAGCACCATAAAAATTAATTGTAACCAAACAGCACTGGATTGTGCTAAATATATGTTACAAATAGCTGCTGCATGGTACAGTGTCATAAAGTTCAAACATCCCTTGTTTCTCTGTTTTGCAATGGATTTCTCTATATCTTGTTGAACTGTTTTGTTGCAGTTGCCTACTACCAAAAAAATACCATAACCATTCTTCCAAAAATTAATCAAATACTCAACAATTAACCACTGTTTAATCCAGTTTGCATCATCAATATTTCCATTTTTAACTTATACAAAAAGCCTCCCCACGTGGTACTTCAGCAATGTCTCCCCACTTTCTCTATATAGATTAATAATTGATTTGAAATACAAGCAGGTAAATTGCAAATGCAAAAAAATTAACTTCTCAAAACTTGAAATGACTTTAAGGTGAGGAAATATTACATCTTTAGGCAAACTTGGAGGCAATCAGTAAGTTAATGATTGAAGTGTGAACCTTTTAAGACATGGGCTTTTACAGCTGTCAAAGTGAACCAAGTTAACTTCCGCTGGGAACTATCATGGATGTTGAAATGTTTAGAACATTGATGTTTAGAACAGTGAAACCACCTGGTTTTCCACATTCACTTGGGATATTGGTCCTGAATGCAGTGAATTCAGCTGATGCTTTGGCCTGGATACCAGTGGTAGCCAATCTGTATCGTTGCCTCAAAATCAGGCATGCCTAACAACTTCCAAAATTTTCTTAGTTTGTCATCTTTGCTCTGCTGCTCAAAGGCAGTGAAATAACAGCATTTGCATGGCTTGTAAAATGAAGAAAATATTAAAATTAATATTTCTACAATTAATTTTAAGTAACTGTCATTTTTCTCACTTTTTTGTTTTTCTTTGCTATTCAACTACAGTTCTGTAAACGTGTACATTTCTCCTCCCTTCAATCTTCCTTCCACCTGTTTTTGCCCTTTGTTTTCTTTCTGATAAAAGACTAAAGAAATACTATTTTATTCTTCCTAAAATGTCGGGTTTTATAGTACAAACCCACTACTGAAACTATTACTAGAGAAAGCTTTGTGTCCCATAATTCTGGACTAAAAGTTTTCAGTAGCAGATGAAATAAGGTTCTTATACTAAAACTTCCCAAAATATGTTTCCTGAGAAGATACAACTTGTATAGGCAAAGTCTCTCAGATCAAGGATGGTCGAACTATTTCAAATCTCATTAATAAACAGCCAATATAAACTAATTGGCTTATATGTTCTACATCCTTTATTTAGGTACTTGACAACACCAGCTCAATCCATTCTTATTGGATTCAGGAACTCCAAATATGCTATTTCTGTTCAGCAGACTCTCCGCCAACCCTATTTACCAAGGCAAATGCAGTAAGAGGAACATATTTTCTAAAGGATTAGGAAAATGAAGGCTTTGAATTGTAATTGATCTTGCCTTTAGCAGAGAGTTTTGCCTGCTTTTGTAGCTGGCAGCCACAACAAAACCTTAAGCAACATATGCCCTGCGGAGTACTTGATGTGTTCAATTTGTTAGCTGCTGTAAGCAGCTTCAGCAGCCCGGGCTCCGTGCAAGAGCTCACACATCATTACGTGCCATCATTGAGATGACAAGGGCGTGCAGTGCCTGCAGTAACTACAGTCACTATCCACTATTGTTCCCTGAGTGACAGAAAGCGACCACTCCATGCAAAACTGGGCCTGAATCACTCTGACAGTTGTTCCTCCTTATTCTTTCAGAGGATGATTGCTGAAGCTCAGAATAGATAATAAATTTATTTTTTTTTTACCATTGAGTAATTGGTGAAAAAGGAATACTGTTCAATTTAGCAATAGCTGTGATGGGACTGAGACAAAGCAAATAGCAGATCTGGTAACAGGGAAAAGCAAGTGCTGTGAACAGTTGGTTTGGTGAGAAAGCTGAAATATAAACATTGTGAAAGAGACATACGCAACATGTTTATCAGAATTAAATAGCTGCTAAACAAAACTAAAAATAATAATTGAAATGCAGAGACCCATTGCCTTTCAAAATAAACATCAGTGCAAAGCACTGCAGCTATTAATTGCCATATGCCATTGTTCAAATTCCTCAGACAGACTCTTCCACCAACCTATACTTTCCAGTGTCACGCACGGGACAGAGACACTTGATAAAATCATCAGCTTTAGCACCTCATCAACACCAGACTCAAGCAGCTGTCACGCTGGTCCCTGAGGTCTAAAGGCTAATGTCACCAGCTGGGTCAAATCCTTCCAAGTGCCTGTCCCAAGGAAACCCAGGTTTTTCCATTCCAGATAAACACAGCAAATTAAGAGTGACTTGACCAATCAAGGGGTTTTTGAGCTTTGAACCAGGCATGAGTCCACGGATTACTTTGTCTTCCTTTTATCCACGTCCCTAATGGGGACTAATCTATATCTGGAAAAGAAGCCTGCATTTTTTCCTTTGAACTTATGTCACATAAAATATTTTAAAGCTTTTACTGTTAGGTGTGCCTACAATACAAGGTGATGGGAAAAGTCCTTAATTTCTCAGACTACAGAAGAGATTAAAAAATTATTTTAATTAATAGCTGGATGTATGAAAAAGATTACTATATGCCTTTTTCACCTTTTAGATTTTTATTTGTAATATTGCTACTTCAGTTTTGGTGTGGTGCACCTGACACCACTGGGCAAAGAATTAGCTTTACAGTTTTGCAAGAGTCAGACTAGAGGCCAAAGGAGATGCACCAGGCAAGGAGCTTGGAGAGAAACAGCTGGAGGAGCAAGGAGTGAGGAGAAGGAAGAGTCGGGGAAGAACAGCCTCAGCAGCAGTATGCAACCTGCTTTTACCCTTCTGGAGCCACAGGAGGAGCAAAGGCTCACTGCCATTCCTGACAAGATCCCAAGGCAGCAGCATGTAGGACAGGCTTGAAAGCACTAACCACTCCCACAGAGATGGGCTGAAGGCACGAGCTGAATGGGAGATCCCATGGATCATCCTTGCAGCTCCATTAGCTTAGGAGAAGTCATGCAGCTTACAAGCAGCACACCTGTGGCAGAGTGGTCATGAAATCAGGGGGGAAAATGTCTCCTTGACTGAGATGACACTCCCAGCAAAGTTTACAGCAGTTCACAGGCTAGCATGGAGAGTACCAGAACGAGAATCATGACAACAGCAACCCACTTTCAGAGTGCCTGCAAATCAAACTTGCTTTTGTAGAAGGCTCTCAATGGTTCTTCTGAGGAATAAACTCTCTCTGCCCGATGTTGTCAGGGTGTCACTGCCAGAAGGAGAGGACAGGTGCTGGACACGCTCCCAGACCATCCTCAGCCGCACTATCCTGGGATACAGGATTGGTATACAGCCCGCACCGCCGAGCCATCGCCCCGTGCTTCGGAGCTCAGACTTAGAGCCCACAATCACGACCTGTCCGTGGCTTCCTCCCCGTGTGTAGACCCCGGTGGGGTCTGCTTCACCGAAGGGGAACGCCAACTCCCGGGGCAGTCGGAGCAGGGTGATGCCTCCCCGAGGGTCACGCCGGACAGGGCCCCAGGAGGGCAGGAAAGGCGAGGGAAGGGCAGGCAAGGCAAGGAGACTCGGTGCTGAGCGGGATGCTGCCGGAGGGAAGCTCTGCCCGGGACACGAAGCCGCCGCCCCAGCCCAGCCCCAGCCCCGCCGCTGCCGGGACGCGCTCGGGGCGGCCGCCGGCAACAAGTGCAGCCCCTGGGGCCGGGGGAGCCGCGCCAGAGCCCGGCAGAGCCGCTCGCACTCACCCGCCCGTCTCCGCTCCCGAGTCCGCGCACTCCTCCTCGCCGCCGGGCTGCTTCTCCATGGCTGCGGCGGGGCTGGGGGCCTCTGGGAGCGGCGCTGCCGCCTCTGCCGCCCGCCCTGTGCGGCAGCGAGAGCCGCGATAGAGAGAGAGAGCAGCGACAGAGAGGGCGGCGAGAGCAGCGCCCGCTCCGCCGGCCCGGCCCGGCCCCCGCCCCGCGCCGCGGGAGGCACCGCCCGCCGCGCCCGCTCCCTGCAGCGCCCGGAGCCGGGACAGCACCGCGGGCACGGGCACTGTGTGCCCAGAGCTGGGACAGACACCGCGGGCACGGGCAGTGTGTGCCCGGAGCCGGGACAGCACCGCGGGCAGGGGATGTGCCCGGAGCTGGGACACTGCGGGCACGGGATGTCCGGCCCCCGGGCACAGCCTGTCCCCCGCGCTGGGACACCGCGAGCTGCTGGCTCCCAAAGCACGTCAGCACCTTCACGGTGACACTTCAGTGCTCCCTGGGCTAGAGGTGCAGCGCCCCATGTCCAGTGGAAGTTAAGAGAGATTGTTGGATGTGTGGACGTTCTCGCTATCCATCCGGTCTTGGAACATCCGCTGTTACAGCCTTTTATTTGAAGTTATCTTACTGTGCTGAGCTTTCTCCAGCCTCCCTCAGTGCTGTCTGGCACTTGTTCGTTACATTGAATGCAATAACTTTGAAATTACGCACGGAAACAGGATGGTTTCAAGCCTGATGAGAATTTCTGTAACGATGCAAAAGGAGGGTTAGAAGAATTTTGAATGCTGCCTGTGAGGAAATGCTGATGTAGGAAAGCTGAATGGTGGTGTCTGTAAAGTGAGAGTGAAGGGAAAAGTTGTGGGTGCACTCCTGTTGTCTGTTTTGTACTTGGAAGTGAACACCAATCTCTTTCACCATCACTTACAGAAATACAAATATCCATCCATGTAGGTGTGAACCAAGATCTCGCCCTGCCAAAAAAAAAAAAAAAAAAAAAAAAGAAAAAGAAAAAAGAAGAGAAAAAAGAGTCTTCCCTTAATCTACTGAGTCCATTCAGTCTGTGGCAGATTTTACAAGAGGAGGGGCAGAACTGATTTGTTAGCTCAGCACTCTAGAGACCAGCTCTTTGTCTCTTCTGAATCAGGTTCAAAGGTTCAAGCATAAAACTGGAATGGGGTGCTCTGTGTTCCCCACAATGCAGATATTGTGGGACAATTAAATCTACCCCATAACTGGAGGCTCCTTCCTTTAATATTTTGTGGAAGACGCTTGGAATTTTCTTTTGGAAAATCTCCAACCATCACCAGATTTCTATCAGCTGTAGGCTCTTGGAGAAAGTAGTTGAAAGTAATAAAAAAGGTTTTTTAATTTAAAAAAATCTTTTCTTAGACCTTTTCTTATTTATGTCTTACAAGAAAGAAGAAAAATAGTGAAAATTTTGTCATTAAAAGATGTAAAGCTGACCAGGCTATAAAAATATACCACACAAACCAACCTTCTGTTGGTCTAAGAAATGCTAAACTGGTTTGGTTTGCCACCAGTGCTTTTATATCCATCTCTACATTGCATGGCACTGCTATTCCTTATTTCAAGCCTGCCAGTGGTCTCTCAAGTTGTATCTGGCAGCACCAATAGTGGCACCTAGCATTGTTTAACAGGCTGGGTGTAGTTCATGCTACTGTTGTCTCCAATAGTGCATGGTCTCAGTTCTCTGAAATAATCTGGGTGTAGGTAGGACACTTGTGAAATAAAAGGAAAGGAGAACACCTTGGTTGGAGCTGTCAAGGTGGTGTTGCCTTGTTGTAGGAACAAGAAGTCAGTACCAAACCCCAAAGTGCTTATTATGAAACTGGAGAATTCCCATTGCTCCACCTTGGAGAGACACTGAACACATGTGCTGTCCTGTGGCCTCTCAGCATCAGAGAAGGTCAACCCACTGAGTGTCTTCAGAGATTTTTAGAGGAAACTTTTAGCTTCTACTATTCATCCAGAATTAGGGAAAAAAAAAAAAAAATAGTGGTATAGGAAATTTGGTGTTTGATCTGTTTTGACAGTCTGATTTGCATGCATGCATGGGTTGCATGCGTGTCAATTCGAAAGCAGATAAATGATTTCTCATTTTATGTGGAGGTTTTTCACATTAACGTTCCCATAAATATAAGGATTTAGGTATGGAATAAGCCCCCTTAATAATCCCTCTTCCATTCTCCCCCCAGCAAGTTGTTAAAAGCTAGTTTGGACCAAATGCTGTTAATGGGGCTCATACAGAACAGTCCTGTGCAGGCACCTACACAGTAATTCAGAACATATGGAAACAACCCATTCCATGCTCTGTGACTGGTAAACTGCCATCCAAAACAATTTACTCACAAAATGAAATTTATGCAATTTCTTTTAGGACTGGGACCAAAATGCTGTTCTTGTCTGCTTCCCAGCTTGCTAAAATCTGAATCACCATGTTTCAGGTAGGAGGCATTAATATTTTCAGATATTCTGTGTCATTAGGGGATTCCCCCAAGGCTGGACAGAGGCAAAACTGAGACAACAATTCTTGATTCCCAACTCAGGGCTCTGTTTTGGGTAAGTGTTTTATTCTCCATCACTGCAATGGCCACGGACAGCCCTGGGCCTCACAAAAGTGTTGGTAGTCTCTGTTACCAGGATGGGACAGACCTGCTTGTCTCTCTGATTCTTAGCCTGCACACATGCATTTATTTAGCTAGTGCAACTGTGCTTAAAAGCAGGTCACCTTTATTTGCTTTTAAGAGTGGTTTCAAAGTGAAATAAAGTGACTCTAGCCACCATTGAACTGATTCAAGGTGTAACCAAACCTCCCTAAATATTTAGAAATAGGTTTAGTTAAATTTATACATTTCTGTACATAAAATTTTAGGTGGTCAGCTAATAGATCTTTTCCATTTCTGACTTTTATTATTCTAGTTAGTTTTGTTTAAACACTGGCATATGAAGGGATCTGGAATAGATTTTATGCTGCATTTAAGATTAATTTATTCCATCTGTCCCAGGGAGGGAAAAAAGAAACATTCAAAGGAAATATATAATTAAGATAGTAAGTAAAGCTACCGCAAACTGTAGGTTCTCTTATTTATATATTTGCCCCATTTAACTCTGTTTTCTTCTGGTCTTTCACATAATTATGGTGAAAAGAAGACTTCTCTGTATTAAATTCCAAGCATTTAAAAGGTTTTAATGAATGAGGTGTTAACTCCTGCCCCTTACTTAGATTTTCTCTGTTACCTGTACTTCACATTGTCCTCTCTACTATTTCTTGAAAAAAGAGACGTTTTAATTACTTTATTATACTTGTGATGCTGTGATATCAGTTTAAATACAAAGATAATGGTGAAAATACTTCTAAGTTAAATTTCCTCAAATTTCAAGCCTTTCATTTAATAGCAGTGGTGACAAGGACCCAGACACAAAAGTATCAGGAGACTTTGGATCTTCAAAGATGCCAAAAAAGTAAAGCACTCTGTTCTCAAACCAAACACTGAGGATGTGAAATGAACATTAGTTCTGCAGGAAGTTCTCTTGCTCCTACTTGCCCAGATAGAGATCTGAAATAGGACCTAAGGTACTTAAGAGAGGATGTAAAGCCTGGTTTTATGACTATGTTCAAATCTTTTATCATGGTAAGTCCTGCACAGTGGTAATTAGGAGGTATCTACCTTCCAAAGAAAACTTCCCATGTATCTGGGGCTCTGTGTGCAAATTGCCCAAGGTTAACCATTTTAGCTTGCATCAGCAGAGTGAAGCACCACCTAACTGCACCCTCCATCTGCTATCATCTCTGTCCTCACCAAAGCAAATGCAGGCAGCAGATCCTCCTTCATCACGCAGTGGCCTCAGGAGCTGAGAGCACAGTGCAGGAGAGCAATAGCTGCAGCCTCCAGCTGAGGAAAGGCAGGTTGGGAAGCTGAAAGATGAACCGCGTCGGATCATATGGGGACTGAAAGAAGGGGAAGCAAAAGCATCCATTTCCCTGATGAATCCACACTTGGATTCAAATTTCAATATCTTTTCTGCTCCCTGAGTTCTGTCTGCTGGGATATCAACTTTCCTGCACCAGCTGGGAGGATGGAATGTAAGCAAAATCATGCAGCAGGGCAGGGAGAGAGGAGAAAAATGTGTCCCTTTTCATGGAATTCTGGTGATAGAGGTGTTCTGTTGGGGAAAAAAACTCTCAGTTATTTTCTTTTCTTGGAGCATTTGGGATCTCTCCATTTTCCTGTGCAATTCCAAAGCAAAAGGGGACCAATGACACTGAAGTTCCTTCTGGCACTATGCTACAAATTAGAGAGCCCTCTTATCTTTTGAGAGAAAAAGAACCTAGCTTAGCAGAGGATTCAGTACCATAGACAAAGAAATAGCAAAGATGCCAAATGATGGGATTTTTCATTCCCAACTACAACCTTTCAAATTGCTGTCTCCACCCTCTGCTACCTGACTCTGGGGCAGAATCTCACCCTCTAATAAGGGGTTCTGGATTCCATTCCTGGCACTTTCCACACTACTCTAGGTATTTCAGTGATGAACTTCTCAGTTTACAGAATCTGGCATTTATAGAAAAGTTTTTCTCTTTTAATGGTCCCTGTGGAAATTAGCCCTCTGCAGGTCAAGGCTTTGTTAGCATTCACTGCTGGACTTAAGACACGGGGTTGTGGTTAAAAAAAAAAAAATAAGACAATTGCAGTTTTGGAAGGAGGAGGAAAATTATGGCTTGGCATGTGGTTCTCTCTTCATGCTAGGTCAGCCCTAAAAGGCTGACTTTTAGACTGGTAAATGTTGCCAAAATAGTTGTGGCAGTTTCTCACATAGACTGTTGGGTTGTTTGGATTTTTAAAGGTTATGATAAGGTCAGTTTCATTTGTGGTAGGTCTCAAGCCAGACACCCAACCTCCTAAAATTATACAATTTTGAGGTAAAATACAACTATGCAATAAAAAGCTATTTCTTCAAAGCACCAAGGTGAGGGTTTTCAGTGAAGTTTAAGGGAGCTTGGTTCCCAGGTCCCACTCTTTTAAGTTTCATTTGA